ATTGTTGCTCAACTTGTTTGTACTTTCTATAAATTGCTTCTAAACGCCTGATGCCTTCATCTATGCTGATATTACCCTCTTTTTTTAAATAAGCTTCAACATCCTCCTGAAAATGCAAAACAACTTGAACATACCATCTTTCAATATATTACGGAACTATTTCATTGTCATACTTCAAGGACGTGCAATTTTCAATTTTTCTCTTTTTCACTGTTGGCTCGTCATTCAAAGAAATTATGCTGAAGCATTCCTGTTATTTCCGAATCTGGATTTTTGCATTGTAATTTCACACAAAAACAAAAATGCAGTCAATGCAATCATGCAACAACTGCATTTCAGCTGCTACATTTTAAAGTTTAGTTATTACTCCGCAATCTGATAACTAACCATCACTTCAGCTATAGGAACGCCTTGTTCTACAAGGTCCGAGACGAATTCTTCTTCTTCCTGCATTAAACTAACTGCTCACATAAATATTAATCTTTGTAATAACATATACTCACTTCGTATCAACCAAGTTTGCAAATCTGAAAAACCCCAATTATTTTTCAAACAGTCAACATCTGCTCGCTTAACGCGAAAAGGCTACAATTTCTGTTAGCGATAACATCCCAACAATTTGGATACCATCCCATATCTTTAAGCGCGAGATTTTACTCCGAAAAAAAGTAGCATTTCTGATTCATCAAAAGAGCTAACAGCTATCTCTGAAACCACGCATTTTAGCAGTTCAGAGACCTGAAATGAATCACACAAGTTATCAGGTACTGTGGTGCAATATAGGCATGCCAATCTGCTATCAAAAGGAAACAATTTCCACTGAAAGCATCTACAATGAATCTCATAAATGTTTTCGGAAATGTACTTATCAATAATGAAAGGGATAGTTGGATCTGAAAATGAAAAAATAGAGCAGCAAGACCAAACCGAAAGAATTAACACTCCTAAACAATATAAAACATTTATTAACTGCCGTTAAAAAATTACAACACGTAAATAATATTTAGCTACAAACTTTAATAACATGGGCATACAAACAATTTTTCTCTTTTGATTGTCAGTTAAACAAAAATTGAAACGAACTTAGACAGTGCTTAGGAAATTTCATTCAAATGTAAAACAACTGTTCATGAAAATTAAAAAAAAATAAAATGAATTAGAGCACTTTCAAAATGCTTGCAGGGAATTAAGTAGTGAGCACTGTAGCAAAGTGAAAAAGTAAAAAGTTTGTGAATGTACTAGAAAATACAAAGACCCGTATTTTTTGAGAAACAGATACAATAAAAAGAAAAATTTTCCAAAAAAATTTGTCTGCATTTCCATTTTAATAACAAAATATATCAATATAGAAACTATCAATTTAAAAAATTCCTGAAACAATCAAAAATCCACTTAGTGGCATGAATTAATCATTAAACAAAGACAATATTAAAACCATGCATTCCGCTATCAAATTTCCTGAAAATAGTCCTAACAATTAGTGCCATAGGTGCAAAGCAAGCAAGTTTAAAATACTAAAAAACTTACATTTATTTATGCTCATTGAAAATAGGAAAATTTTTTAGTCGAGAAAAGCACTTTATACCGACAGCGGACGTCATGAAGTGCTTCAAAAAGATAAAGAAATCTTCTAATCTAATGAAATAGAACTGAAAGACTGAGATTTGGTCAGATTAAACCTGACAAGGATAAGAATAATTATATATTAGAGTCAATGACTGATAATGTTATTAAAAACTTAAAACGGGCAAATTGTCTCATCAATTGTCAGCGTCCTGAAATAATACTGAAGAAATGAATAATAATAAGCAGAACTCTTGAGAACACCAAATGTTTCGTGTTGATAGTTCAATAAATAGCAGAAGATATTCGAAGATTAGATAAGCTAGAAATCACTAAATAAACTTATTTGACTAAACTCTCTTTCTCTACCCGCTCTAGAAATACTATCCACACAAAGCAACAAAATAAAAAGACACAGTGCACAAAGACAATAATTTAAATACAACTTACTAAGGAGTTTCCGGCTTGATTATTCTTAACACGATAAAGCTGATGTTTTCTAATGTAATCTACAACTGAATCCATCGTGCAATACTTGATCGATTCCCCACGTCGAATCGCAGCTCGTAAACGCGTAGAACTTATATCATTAGGTAAAACAGTATCTTCGAACACAAATACGTTTGCTAGTGATTGACCGTTATAGCCAAGTTGACTTAAAGTTTTCATTGGTTCTGAATTTTGCCTCGCCATTACTACCAAACCTGCAATGCACTATCTTCATTCCACAACAGAACTTTAATATTTGTTGAAAAAGACAAATTATTATCTATAGTGTCAGATATATATAGTTTCCTTAAAAGAATGGATGACAAAATTTTCGAATTTTATAAATAAGTATTTTAAAATAAAATTCTCAATTTTAATCTGCCACATACCGAAATCTCGTATAATTGCACCAACATCTTGGGGATCCCACAGATAACCTCCCTCAGCTGTCAATCGTTTGAATGAATCCACAACATCACCACCGCATAACAACATCAAACGCAACCGTGTGTCATTATTATATTTCCGGGCTAACACCTGTTTGAAGTGTAACAAAACCAAAAGTGTTTTAGTCCACTGTTGTTGAGTGCACTCCCACTGGTCAGCTCGAATCCAAGTTGAACTTTTTACTGCTAATTCTGACATTTTATACCTGAAATATTTTGGGATCAGAAAAAACTGATATTGGTCATTCTGTGATAATTTTTGCCACCGATAACTAAAAAAAGGTCTCGTGTATAACATAAATAAGATCACTTCGTTAATTTCCTCAAATAACTGTTCTTCTAAAGCTTGTCAGGCATCATCACACATAGAAGTGTGGCAGGCTTATAACAATCAATAACAGATTTCTTCAGCAACAAAGAAATTCCAACTTCCTATAAGCAATCTGATTATCAAAACTATCAAAACTGAGAAGATATTACTTGCCTATGTATTGCAGGTAACAGGTCAGGTTTGCCAAAATAATCAGCAACAGGACTCAGAATTCCTTCAACCACTTCGCACCCGTAGCGAACTTCCAAAAAATCACGAGCACTTTCGAACATTCTAAGGTGCATAATTGTTGGCGGATTGTAACAACCGCATGCCAGCAGAGCTACTCGCGCTCCTTCCAGACTATTCATTCGCTATTTATGATGTTTCACAATTTTGTTGAACGTAATGAATACTATCCACCACGACTGATTATATAAATATCTGAAATCCCTAAACTAAAATGAATGTATATTTAATGACCGAAGTGTACCAACAACTGAAGTGCTGATACAGTACCGTATGCACCTATTAAAAAAAGGATCCCTCGACCAAAGTTGAATGCAAAATTATATTCGAATCAAATAAGAACAAGGACCTTTGTGAGAGAATGTACCCTACATTTCTCATGTAAAAACGACTTTCCTGAAAACATAAAACACATTTCATTTACTAGATATTGAAATATTTTGCGGAAAGGTAACAAACGTGTATATCCCGAAGAACAAAATTATAAATTTATTACGATTAATTAATTTTACATGAAGTAATGTACAAAAGAAAAATTATTCCTTAGTGTGCAAAATAAAAACAAAAGTATAGGTACTCCATTCAGCTCATTAAAGAACGCAAGATGTGCGACTATAAAGATTTTAGCATGTTCAGTTTAAAAAATAAATGTACAAAAGGCCCATCACTAGATAAAATTTATCTTGTACTGGGATTTGTAAAACTTTCTATCCAGATTTAGAAGCAGAAAAAAGTAAGTGAAAAAAAACAAGTTAAACATCTATTTAACACATTTAAAATAAATGATGACAAAATAGTTTTTAAACTATAATGATGTGAGATCATTGAGCAAATCGTAATGTCCAAACTCGTGCTGTAGCATCAAATTCCTTTCGGTTGTTCACATATTGTTCCGCAATATTTTCAAGTAAAGCATTTTCTAGAAATATTTTATTACGTGTAGGACTGATGGATTGCCAACTGTTCACTTAACTTTAAAATTTGAGTATGAAATGAACATGAAGATGTTTTCGTCAGCTACCTAAATGAAGTACCCGAGTTTCAAGTTGACAAAAATGTTGCATTTCAATTACAAAGAAACATCAGTAGACTGTAATGACTACCATTTAAAATAATTTTCGAAAAAGAATTAGAATTTCAAAAAAGAAGGGAAAGTACCGGGTTTGCAGTCACATAGAAGAGCAACTATTTCTTGTAAAATTCTCGCAATTGTCATTGAGGAACTCCAGTGACCACGTAAAATATCGATATTAATAATACCGTGGCGATTGATATTGCAGTGATATATCCTTGTTAAGAATTGCACCTGTAATAAGTAGAAAAAAAACTTTTCAGCATAAAACTCTTCATTTACAAAAATAAATCAAAAAATTTGCTTTATAAAAATCATTTCTGGATATAAGATTATAAAAAAATACCTTGGGTGAATTAAAAGGATATGTTGGCGGTATAAACATCTGCACGAAAAAAGTACCACCTTCATAAACAGTGTTTTCGGGTCCGTTAATCACTGCAGTCCATTCATGAATATTATCGGCTCTCGGTGCAGCTCGGCAGTGTTTCACTGGGTTTTTTCTAAGCTCTTTCATCTATAACACATAAAACAGAGATGTAAAATAATGATTATCCAAGATGTTATACATGTAACAATGTCATAAAAGTCAATACATAAATATATATATACTTCTTTGGTTAGCCTTAGAACACTCCGGGCACTTGTTAGTGTGGAATCGATTGATAAACCAACTGTACGTGGATCCCAACAGCCCTGCTTCCACTCGAAGTTACCCTGAAAAGTCAACTAAAACCGTTTTGATATTCTACATAAGAATTATCACACTTTTCTGCAAATTTTCTTGTATAAACTAGCTCAAAAATTAACGCAATAATAAACTGAGTATAAATGACAAAAGACAAACATTAATGTCTCTTACATTGGGATTGCCAACAAGTAGATGAAATTCTGTACACTTGGATGCATGAAATCTCCTACGATGATGTAATGTAGTGCACACTACAGCGATTGTATTTTTTTTATTTCAAGTTTCATTTTAGTTTTTTAACTTTTCATTTTTTTCGATATTATTCTATCATTTTATTAGCTAATCTGACAATTCTGTTAAGCTTAAGGAAGGGAAAATAAAATTCATCTTAGATTTTTATTGAGATCGCTTCTACATCGCACAAATAATGAAAGACGGAGAAAAGACAGAACTAACCGCCGCTTCGAATGGAGATTGTTCTTCCCTTAAAATATATACGCGCTCTGCATTTCGAACTGCCATTCTAAAGCGTTCCTCGCTGGATACCCTCGTAAACATTATACAACGCCCTCAAATATTACTGAAACAAAAGAAAAGCCAAACAAAAATTCATTGCAATGAAAGCCACCATCTAGTAACTTTGGTACTTCACTAATAAAAGAAACAATTCATTAATGCTTAAGATAGTGATGTTTTAGGCTCTATGGCTCCTGAAATTCGTTTAAAAATATTCTTAAATTATTTTACCTTGTACTGAACTTTTTGATACGAAATGTGCTTTTGTGCGATCTCAGGATAATTTTTCTATAAGCATTGCATATCATATCCGTAAAACATGCAAAAACAGGTTACAGTAACCACAATGATAAAAAAGCAAAAACCAGAGCACTTTTTATCTGAGTTCAGAATATATGTTTCATAAAACGATGATCACAACACCAGTTGGAATAACAAGTCAAAGCAAACTTCAAAGTATGCGTTTTTCTTATCTTAAGAAATCCTTCTTTTAAAAATCTTTCATAACCACGTACGAAAAATATCACTGTCAAAGTGTAACTTCTTGTAGAAAAATTTTATAATTAAAATCAAGATAAATAAAAGAAAAGGTAGGAATTTAAAAAATATAGCTTTCTGAATTTTTCAAGAGTTACCTAGACCTCATTAGACTTGTGATAATAGTGTTCACTGGAAAATATTCACTGGAATATTCCAGCATAATGACTGAAATAAGAAAAATGAAAATATTCAAAATAATTTGAGTTAAAGAAAATAAAATCTGTTGATAAGCTTGGCAAACTTGTCAACTTCGAAACTATTACTAATAATTAGTTTATGCCAATTCCAGAAATCCTTAGATATTTTTACGAGGATTACAATAGCAACTGTTTGATATAAAAAAAAAAAATATTCTTTATTACTAGTTGCGGATTTTTCTGGAAAAACAAAAAAAGAAACATACAGAAATATTTTATACGAAATTGAGAGCACGCCAAGTTATAGATAACCTTCATTGAAAGCCTATCCGAACAAAAAACAATAAATGTGAAATTTTTGCCCTTGGAAAGCAGTTATTACGGATGAATGGTGTATGGTAACCTAGAAGGAAGGTTGTAGTTTTTCGAAATTAGAGTATTATATGAATAAGTCGAAAATTCAAAGCACCAACAATGAAATAATGCCTTCTCGGACTGCTCTGAAAAGTATAATTGAAAAAAAAATGTAGAATTTTCAAAGTGTATATCAGACTTCTTTGATCAATAATAATAAAAGGCTGATGTTTATTGAGGCCAGCAAACGTTGCTCATTCCTCGCAAAGAATCGAACAAAATGCGTTTTTGTTTTGTTGCCTTCAGTGTTAGATATTCGCTGCATTACTTACAGCATAAACCAGAGCTTACACCTTGACCTTGACCCTCTTGGCCAATATCTATTCCTTCATGACCACGTCCTGATGGACCACCACCACTTCCATCACCTTTTGGAAGCTTCTTAGCTGCAATTTACTTTTTCCAAATTTAATCCACTGTTAGAACCATGAAAGCATTGGACTTGAAAATAAAATTCGTTTTAAGCAATCAGAACTAACCAATCGCAAGGAAGATGTCATTTACATTCATCGCTGTTTTTGCTGACGTTTCCATGAACAATAATGCATTATCTTCTGCATAAGCTTGAGCTTCCTGTAATTACATTTGCAAATGCTATGCAACAACAACGATAACAGAGAACAGCGAAGAATTAATAGACTTTACAACTTCAGGATTAACACTTATCCTAGCAAAGAAAATTTAACTGTCAGCATTACAAGAATGATTGTTTCTGATAAATGAAGTACCAATAAGATATTATAAAACAGAAGATCCAATAAATTTTTCGCAAATAACAATTTAAAATCGGAACTTAAAATCATACTACTTGTGCAGTAAATAGTATGATTTCAAGTTCTGATTTTAAATGCATCCTTTGAAAGGAACATGAATTCAAGTATGAAAATCACAAAAAAAAAACCTCATATTCAACAACTCGTTTGTTCGCAAGATCAGCTTTATTTCCCGATAAAGCAATTACAATGTTCGGACTGGCTTGCCGTTGCAACTCTTTTACCCAATTTTTCGCCTTCGCAAATGATTCCTACAAATTGCTGATTAAATATGCATTATATCACTTCCGAAAGTTTCACTTCATATGTGAGCATTATCTCACAACTTATATATCAGAGAAATTAATAGATATTCATTCTTACTGTATCAAAGACAATTTTTTACGACTATCTCCAACTCCATGCAAAATTTCTGGTCATATTTTAATGGTATAGTATCTATCAGAGTGATGCAGCACCACTAAATTTCATATCATGATGAGATGCAGAAAGATTTACGGACACTCTCAGCTTGAACTGCCAACAGATCTGTACATGAATACTACAGCGAGAGAAGTACTTCAGTAAATGTTTTTTTGTAAACATTAAATATTAATAAAATTAATATTAAAACTAACAACTAAAATGCAGCTAATATTACAATCCGTTTTCAATAGCAAATGAGGAATAGAACGCCATTTATCCTACTAAGATGAAAAAATTTGGACTTCTATGTGATATTAAGAAAGCACCTGGTTTGTAATATCATAAACAACTATAGCCGCCTGTGCTCCGCGGTAGTACATTGGTGCTAATGAATGATATCTGCAAAAGAAAGGAAGCTGGATGACAACATTTACTCACAGAACAAAACAAACTACAACTCTAGAAGTCATTATTACCAATCCCACTCTCTTTACACTAAATATATTACAAAATTTACATTAAGGTTATCCAGTCCCTGCAGGATGGCACTAACGTTAAAACTGATGCATACATTCAAGTTTTTATCTTAGAGAATAATGGTAAAAGAATCAAATCGCTACCCAAAAAGAAATCTAATGAGTTCTGTCATTTGAATTACGAAAAGTAAGTCAAAGAAAGCAAGAAAAAAAATACTGAGATACAGAAAGCTTTTTTTAAATAAGAAATGTGTTTTAAATCAGATACCTTTCCTGTCCTGCTGTATCCCATATTTCAAATTTCACTGTAGTATCATCCAAACTAACAGTTTGAGTGAGGAATGCAGCGCCAATTGTCGATTCTTGGTACTCATGAAACTGCCCTTTTACAAATCTTAGGACCAACGATGATTTACCTGAAAACCTGATGCTTCTTGACCGAAAAATATCGAAAACACCAGTATGAATCACGGTATTAAAATTTTGGCTTCTAAGAAGAAGGTCTTCTTTCTTGAATTACGGCAATACAGAATTAAGTACGAAAACACTTACCAACCGCACTTTCACCCAACAAAACCAATTTAAACTGGCAAGTTTTGTTTGGACCCCCTGTATTTCCAGAACGCATTACCGTTCGTCCAGCCATGGACTATTTTCCTTAAATTAATTGGAATCATTATAAGTACAAAAGTGTCATCTCACTGAAAAGACTGCAATGAATAATGATAATATATCGTAAGGTGGTTTTCTAGTTAACAATTTCTGCAATAAAATAAGGTCGGTGGAAATTTTTTGGTAGTTTCTTAAAACAACAAATTAATTTTTTCCGATAGCCATAATTAGCTATCATTGCAGAGTAGTCGATATTATAATCATATATGAGATTTTACCTGTTCCAACAACACTGAAGTATAATTATACTATGCAGCTAAGGAGTGTAACTTTATATGTAATGCTTATTTTAGAGCCTATTAATGGTGATAAGTCCAACTTGATAAAATTGGACTTATCATTGTTAATAAGTTCCAAAACACAGTTTGAGATAAAATTGAATATAAATGCTAGAAAGATAGGCCTCTTTTCTATTCTCTGAAAGACAGGCCTCTCTTCTATTCTCTCAGAAATTATTTGCTTGTAAGCGTATTATTTCTTGTATAATATGTCTATCATACAAGAAATAGTATGCTTATAAGCAAATAATTAAATAGCTGAAAAAGAGGGCAATAAAACATAAATACTTAAACGATGGTAAAGCAATAGCTTAACTCACAATTATACAAGATTACTATCTTCTACAGTTGTGAGTTAGGTAAGAAAGAAGATATTCTCTTCCACTGCTTTATGCTGATCATTGGTCAAACATATTTAAATAGAGATGTGAGACTAAAGTGAAATATATAAAAAAATTGAATTTGAATAAAGCAAAACGCTTATCAGTTATTATTATTTTACGTGGGAAGAAATATAATCAGTGTTATCAACATGCATTCCACCACCACAGAGCATATCATCTTCTTATTAGCATGTCAAGTAAAGCATATCCTAGACAGTCAGCCGTTTTGACGCACAAAAAAATTTGTAACGTATCTTCACAATTGATTTTAATTACCTACGTTTACTGAGTCATGGTTTTTATGTGAGTGCAAAAGCAACTGAAGGATAAGGAAGATGTCAGCTTTCAGAGAAGCAATGAGGATAGAAGTTTTCTTCACATCACCAATGGTTGGAAAAGTAAAAAACTTAATGTGAAAGAGTCAAAAGATCACAGCACATCTGCGGATAAATCAAACATGACCTCACTTTGACCCAATAGCGCATACAATTACACCATCGAAGGCGTAATTATGTGCGTTATTGTACAATGAAGTTTTTTGCTACTCGTCTCCGAACCGGAGTAATGTTATTGTGAGATTAGTATGAGTAATATAGGTAGGGCAGGCACGGGGTTACGATGTTGGGTTTGGGTGGTTACATATGGCGTTGCGTGTAGAGGATCGGAGGTTGTGCAGTTACGTGGACGTGACTGTAGATGATATGAATTATAAATAATTGATGAGTATGCGAGGAAACGAGTTGAATTGACCCTTGCAAAATTGTCGATGAGGCAGAATTTCTCATTGTAATGCATTAAAATGAGTTTGAACATTTTACGCTCCATCTCTTCCCTTCGCTGCTCTTTGAGCCTCCTCCCCCACCACGATAGGGAATGGAGCTGAAACTTAGCGAAACAAAAGAAGATAGAAATGTTTCATGATAAGTAACTTTCACGAAGAATCAAAGATTAAGATGTGAAAAAACTGCTATGAATGCTACTGTATCTTATAAGCACTGTTGTCTGCCGCAATCAAATTTATTAAATTAAACTGTTCAAAAATCAAGTGGAATTAGTTATACATTCAAATGACTAATTTATAAAGGATGAAATCATTGAAACTTCTTTCTTTAACTTTACTGATATTTATATGCTTCATTAACAACTTCCGTAAAATTAGGAAAAGATAAATTGCAAAAGTAATTGTTTCATAACATCAGAATAATATAACCGGAAAAATGGAAATAGCAATGACGAAATTGGAAAATAACGGAGCCGTTTCTTTTTTTGTGCAGTAGCTATTGAATTGTTGCTGAAAATAAGACGGAAGTAATTGTCCACGTTCAGTTACGTGGAATCTCTCTCAAGCAACTGGACAACCATCGAAAATATTTGTTGCATGAAACGAGAATCGTAACTTTTTTGCCACTGTAATAACTGTTAGCTACTATAATTAGTTGTGGGAAGAAAAATGTAATTTTCCGTTTGAATTGATAAATAATGCCGCAACATTATCTGATCGCAAATAATAAATTTATAATAACATTCTCCTTGAATACTATCTCTTCTCAACTCATACATAATCTGACCTTACAATACGCAGTGAAAGTTATTTGACAAGGGATGGGGTCAATGAGACAATAATTTCAAAATCGATCAACTCCATCCATCATTCATTTCTTACTCTCTGCTAAAGGTACCTTCATTTTGTTGCTTCATTTTGCATAATTCTCAAACACTTTGATGTTGCAATGTTGCGGCGTTGTTCAATTGTTGCAGCTATGCTTACCATCATCTTCATACTTCTTGTACCTAATATTTTAACTTACAATGGTAAAATTTTCAATTTCTTTTTTTTGTATAAATGTCTAATAAGTGGAATATAGATTTAATAAAATGCTGTTAATTAAATATTTTTTTGTCTTCAAAAAACTTTTTTGTAAACAAAAACGATTAAAGACTGAGGCGATGAAGTGATGAATTGCACTGAAATTGTAATGAATTATAGAAAAAAATAGCAATGAATTGCATTGCGATTTTGTGACGGAACAACGAATTGTTCAGAAATGCTTGGCTCCATTCCTCTATAAACTTAATTTCGGACAATTCTTTTTTGAAAAACCATTTATGGCTGCACCACTGACATTTTGTAAATTATATAACGAATATGAGAATTGTACTAGTGAGTATCAAATGGATTGCAGGTTCTTTTTCTTTTTTTTTCATTTTAAAATATTTTATGCAAAATTTTTGCTAATTAAATTATTGTCTAAAATCCTAAAAGCGAGTGATGAATAGTAAAAGGTATCAGATATACTCATATTTATCGAAAATAATAAAATAATCAATCATAATAACAAAATTATGATCTTCGGAAAATTCGGTTCTGGAAATGAAATAAAGTCTGTTAGGATATGATTGCAATGCTGAATAAATTGAGCAAACATTGTCTTTCTATAAATTTAAATTTTAGAATACTAAACACCCAATTAGAACAATTTTTTGTCGAGATATGTTCCAATAATTTTCAAAAACAGTTACGCGAGCATCACGCTTGTTTCAATAGCTTTCAAGATCACTTTATATATTCACCAGAATGCTTCCATAATAGTATTTTTCAATCAGATCAAGAAACAACTCTTTTCCGAAGTGTTAGTTTTAAATTTCTAATTGTTTTAATTTCTTAAAAAGATTTTACATTCCCCGTTAACTTATCTTATTCCCGAAATACCATATAAAATATTATTTCTTTTAATCAACCTAGGTTCGTTCCTCTTCATCTCTGCATAATTCACTGAGGTACATCCCTAATCAGAAAACCAATTTCATAATTATAATTATTCATTTCTCTATCTTTGGCCTGATAGGATGCTTTAATTATCGTGAAGTCTAGGGAATTAATTATTCCATCCATTATAAAAAAAAACCATTTGAAGAAGTTGTGATTGAAAAATACAATGAATGTGGGTGATTATTGCTGGGTACATTTCATTTATTTCTCCACGATGAAATAAACAACGCATTCAATATTAATGGAACAATAATTTCGGAAAGATATTAGTGCGAGTAAGTAAGGAGAGAGTTATGCTACCTTTAATAGACCAAGAACAAAAAAACCCAATGAAAGAATATGTTATCATTTAAAGTTGTTTTCATACTCCACCGATGATTTTGCTCTGAGTTTCAGCAGTAAACAATTTCTATTTCAAAGATTAAGATCCATTCTAATGAAATGACCTTGTCATTTGTAATGGCAAATAATTTTAAAGTTTGTCTCTAAAAAAATCATATCAATTGTTTCGCTTATGAAAAGTAGCTTTAACAGCATAATTTTATACCAAACATGGAAGAATATTACATTTATTTCTAATAATTGAAGGCTTATTAGCAAACTTTTGATTTATTTTTGTACATGCAGAAATGTTTTTCAATGTTGTTTGAATACGAAATTCAAACTGATTTATGTTTATGAACAAAGTAAATAAACTTATTTATTTTGTTCAAGTTATATTAATCTTTCGCAGCTGTTATTCTTTATTGGTTAGAGTTAAGGATGTAAATATTCTCGAGTAAAGTTATTTTCATGGAAGTGATATTTTTTTTTCTTCATCTTTAGGAACACGAGCACAACGAAATCAGGGACCGTAAATGTCGCGTTGTGCAGTGGTATCTTAACTGTAGTCTCACCGATGCTTACAAGAAAACATGTCCTGTTGCTGTTCAGGTTTTCCATTCATATAACCGTTAATTATTAAGTAGTAATCATTCGTCTTATCTCTGATCGCATTATCTTTCGCTCAAAAAAATATGTACATCACTCAGATTTTTGAATATCAATAAAAACGGATTTGCTAAAAAGAAATTATCTTAACTTTTTTGAATATAAGCATCAAATCTATACAAACTTTTGCTGATTTTCTGATAACACTTTTTTTATTTCAGATTATTCAAAAATACTATGAACTGCTTTTAAACTCCAATCAAAACTCATGCGATTTACGAAAATTGAATTCAAATTTGTCAAAATTAAATTTTGTTGATTCAGAAAATATCACTCAGTTGAATGGAAATTCCAATAAAATTAATGAATCATTGGGTGGTATGTCGTATTTTTCATTGTATTATTAAATAATCTGTTTTCATGACATGAACAAAGTTTTTTTAAGGACAAATGAAATTTCAAAATCTGAAAAATGAAATTAGCACCGAACGATGTGATATAGCAAGTGAACGATATGTAACGGAAATAGCATTGGAATTGAGGAAATATGAATATCTCGAATATCAGTTGTTCCGGACTCCTTTTAACCAATTGATTGAAAGAACACCATGCTCAACTTATAAAATTTACAAAAAAAATGTTCAGAATATTAGTTTGCAATGCAGGTTTGTGTTTACATTTTTCGCAGCACACAATTAGAATATTTCATGCAGTATTGAAATTAGCAAAGATTCAATTATTATATATCAGCCTTATATTTATATATATATCAGGAAGTACTAATAGTTTAACTATTTTTTAGGAAAATGAATATACAACTAGAAAAAATGTATGATTATTACTGTAGCGATAGCTTTGCTAATATACTGTTAAATCAAAAAAGTTGCATCGAAAAGCTTCATTTAATTTATAATGAAAGCGAGTGCTCAAATGTTACTCATTTCTCGGATGGATACAATTACAATTCACTTCCTAAAAGGGTTCATTTTGCTTTATGCTTAGATTCCAGTTTTACACTTCTTGTTTAGCTTTTTATGTTAAACACATAATTGTCCCATTTTAGAACTGCTTTTATCACCAATCGTATTTTGGAATATAATGATTTCTTTTAATTACTTTTATAATTATTTTTTTATTTCTAATCCTCTCATCCATAATCTTTACGTAATCGAATTTTAACTCCGAATTTTAAATTAGGGAACATCAGATGAATCATCTCAACGGTGTAAGTTTGCCAAATGGTATTTCGACTGCGGGATCACGGAATCTTTTTACGAAACATGTCCTCAAATTACAGAGGTTTACTACATCTCTTGAATAATCTAATCGCGCAAAATTCCTTTATTTCAAGTCTTATTTAATATTTTAATAAAGTTTAAATTCCTAAAAGACTATTCGAAATGATTTTTATGGAAGAAAAAATCTGAGATTTATAAGCATTGATTGGGATTTATTCACTCAGTAAATATAACATAGAATTTTAATGTTTTCAAGCTCAAATGAGCATTTTAAACAATTCACTTCTTTTCTTATAGAATGTGCAAAACTACTTTGAGATGCTAATTAATGCGAATAATAGCAATTGTTATTTGCGCAAACGAACAGTTGACCGTAATGAAACCGCTTCTGGTCGGTGCTTCTCCACCAATTCATTATACTTTACTGCTTAAAATGTTTAATTTAATTTTTCAACAAATGGTCGTGTCAATACGATTCAGAATGTTAATAATTAATACTTAAAATTAATTTTTTTGCTAAGAAGAACACTTTTAAGAGAGCAAAACTTTCAAATGCAAAAATTTACCAACAAATCGTAATATCTCACACAAATATTTCATTTATGTAAAACTGATAAATATTACAGATGATAGCAAAGATTATTTTGATATTCAGTTATGTAATAATTGTACAACGACTGACTGTCCGAAAGGTTTCTATTATGATGAACAGTTAGCGAAATGTATCGGTGAGTTTGATAGTTTGCTAATTTATCAATTAAAAAATTTGACTGATATTGTTTAAGTTTATAGTTTAATTTACTATTCCATTTGGTATTAATTCTTAGAGATTTAAGAAATGTATGTATGACTGTTCAATTTTGAAGGATAGCTCGGAGGACTTATTTTGATTTTTTTCATATTTTTAAAATCATTGTAAATATACTTACTCATTTTAGAAAATTTGATTCACATTAAAAATTTTTTGGATTTAATCGATCTAAATTTTGAATTATAGTGTTTCAAAATGACCCATTACTTTCTTTTAAATATAAGAAATATTATCATGATGTTAGATGATTTAATGGAAATAAGAATAAGTTCACTGGCAACAACAATAATTACAACTCAAACAACACTTTTCAATTTATTACTAAAAATCAAAATTTACATTTTATATTGGGATTTAGATGTGGATGAATGCGCCTCCAATCAACATTTTTGTTCGCAGAAATGTATCAATAAGCCAGGTGATTTTGAATGTGAATGTTTTGGCCCTTTGTATAAACTGGCTCGAAATGGACATCGGTGCTATCGAACTGATAGCGGTCCGTTTATTCTTTGTATTTTTTCTTTTGTTTATTTTAACTGATTTTAATTGTTTATAGCTTGCAATAGCCTGTTATTTTTTAAAATTTATTAAGCGAAAAGTTTCATTTCAATCTTTTTGATTTTGTTTTAATGTAATTTCAAAGAGTGTTATAAAAAAGTAAATGTTAATTTATTGATGGGATAAGAGCTTAATTATATATTTCCAGAACCTGTTCTATTTTTCTTGGCTCATTCGTATAGTATTTGGAACGTAACATACAATGCAAAATCTCAACTAAAATTGGTACCTAATTATGGAAATGAAAAAGTGGCCATGTTTGATTATGATTTCAAGGCAAAATTTCTATTTTTCTAAATGTTTTTTTGATGAATTCGAATCTTTTTAGAATTGCTTTATTGTTATTTTCATTCGCACACTTCAAACAATTACAATGCTAAATTACATTTCAGGAAAAGAAGTTATATTATGTGGATCTAACAAGAAATTCTATTCAGTACGTAAACGTATTTGACAGAAATAAAGTACATGTCATACAAAATCATGAAGTTGAAGGTACAGAAGGAATTGCTGTTGATTGGATACATAGGTAAATTAACTTACTTTAATTATTATAACATTGTTGGAGTTTGTTAATAATGTAATTTTTTCTCATACAAATATATTTTTTTTATAATTTTTTTTTCATACAAATATATTTGATAACAATTCTAATTGTGTTAACATTGATGATGATAATAATGTAGATATAAATTTATAGGAGATATAAAAGTATTATTAACAATCTATCAAAATCATATGAAATTAATAATTCAAAGTATAAAATCACTTTATAAATCGTAAATTTCTCGATAAGCATTTAATGATTTATTAAATCAAACTGAATTAATCATCACATATGATCAATAATACACTTTAGGAAAAAAATAAGTTTGATAAATTTATTTTTGACAAAATTAATTTGATAAAAGAACGAATTAAAATAATTTTTAAAATTTAAGAAAGAAAAGAGGAAAGTAAAGATATTTTCAGGAATTTATATACTCTACGCCAAAGGCAATTACATGTACAACGTCTTGATGGTCTTTATAGAGCATCACTTTACGATAAATTCTTTCAGTTACCTCGAGCTTTGGTTGCTTATCCATTCACGCGGTGCTTTTTCTTTCTTCAAAAATACTTTTGTAATCCCGAAATTATTTTATAATCGTCTATCATTTAGTTATCATTTCTTCATAAGTTAAGCAAGCCGAGAGATGTAATTATTAATTGGAGTCAAAAATAATTTTGTTCCTTATATTTATTTAATATTATTCCTTATACTTATTTAATCTTATTTAATTTATAAATACTCACAGTATTTTCTTCTAGAATAAAGAACAGAATTTTTGGGAATTTTTATGTGATCAATGAGGATTATCTTTGATCGTTACATAAATAGATTAAATGAATGTATTCTTTGCAGCGAATTGTTTGCAAGTGATTGGGGTACAAAACCATTTATAGTTCGACTTGCGATGGATGGTAGTGAAGCAAAGAAAATCATCAATGAAGATTTAGTTTGGCCAAATGCATTGGCTATCGACTACTTCGCAAAACGCCTTTACTGGGCCGATGCTTTCCGCGACGTCATTGAGTTCATTCGTTCTTTAAATATTGCATGATATAACGATTAATATCACAATTTTGATTGAGGAAGAAAAGAATCTTCTTGTTTCAGTGCATATCTAAAATTTTCTCATTTTTTTAATTTAAATATTCAACATAGAATGGCAAATTTGGATGGAACGAGTCGGCGAATTATAATCAGTGATAATCAGTTGGTACCACATGTTTTTGGATTGACGGTATTTGATGATATGATTTTTTGGAGTGATTGGACCCGTCGTGGATTTCTATTTGCTGATAAACTTACTGGTCAAAACATAACAATGTTCTTAAGGACTGTATTGCCACCATATTCCCTCAAGGCATATCATTCAGCTATGCAAATGGAAGGTAGGCAGCAATGGTATTTATGAATAAATAAAGGGAAAAAAGGAAAAGATTCTAGATAAAAATTAAATTTTAAATTTTGAAATTCCTTAAAATTTCACCAACACAATGTGAAATTATAATTTAATTATACTTCAGTTCCTAATCTTTGTGAAACGACGACGTGTCAACATATTTGTGTACCGAAACTTGATGGTTCAGGACCGCAATGCTTATGTGCTGAAGGATTTATTATGCATGAAAATGGTTTGTGTGAACCAAACTGCATGAAACATCAGTTGCTATGCTCACGACCAGATCATAAGTTCGATTTTATAGAATTATTGATTGAAAAGTCAGGGAGAATTGTTATTCTGAAGAACTTCTTTTCTAGTAAAAAAGTGTATGAGTTCAATTCATGCTTCGTGTGTTTTCAATCTAATTGCAATCAAATTTGGAGGAAAGATTCTGAAAGTAATAACATCGTTTTCTGTCCCACAAAATGGTCGGATTCTGAGAATCTTCAATTGATTCCATCGATTTTAGATTTGATATATGAAATAGTTCCAAGAGTTAATGTTCTTTTGATCTTTTATCAAATACTAAACATAATAGGTAAAATATAATTAATTAGTCTTCTAACACGCTGTAAGTCAGAACTGTTCATTTTCCTATGGTTTTTTTGCTTGTTCTTTTGACCTTTTCTATCATTTAAAAATAACTACTTCCATTTTTTTCCTTTTTTTGAAATACAGTTTCTAATAGACTACTCAAAAAAATTGCGAGTTAAACGAAAAATTTTTAAGGTAAATATTTCAGATGTCTAAATTTAATATATCGATGTGATGGATTGTACAACTGTGGAAATGGAGACGATGAAATGGAATGTCGTAAGTATTTCCTCATTTCATTCGTTTACCAAAATTATTTCAGTGCATTAGTTAATCTGTTAACAAATAACCAAATGAAATGAAGTACATTACTTTTGAATTCTTTAATTTTTTGAACTTTAGAATATTTTCATTGCAGCGATACCGATTTGCATGCATGATGAACGTATGTTTCCATGTCGTGATAATCGCAAATGTATTTTGCGATCACAACGATGTGATGGTTTTATAGATTGCTATGATGAGTCTGATGAATTGTACTGTGTCGATTTAGCCATTGGTTGGAGCCATTGATTGCTCCGTAAATTACTTTTAATTAATGAGTTGTGAAGTCTTTTCTTGTTCTTAAAATTATTAAAGTATATTATAAGAGAGTACCTACCTTCTCAGTCTCTAGCATTTCTAATATTATCATGCTACGAATTTGGTTGTTGCAAGCTATGCTTAAATTATCATTTTAGAAATTCCTTCCTAGTTTTTGGCATCTTTATTTTATTTTATTTTTATTGAATTTTAATCTTATTATGGGAAGTATTTTGTTATTAATTATTGTTTAATTTTTTATTAATTTTATTATTAATTATTATATCTTTGTTTAGCAATAAATTTTGTCCGTACTTTTCAGATTTTGCTTCATTCTTTGAATCTTAACTGTCACTGGCATATTACCTTTTTCCTATGTTTTAGTGGAATTCTTCAAACTTCATTATCAAATAATGAACCATGCATTTACTAATAATATCGCATAAAATTTTTAAAGTAGTAATCAAAGTGAAACAAAATTTAGTGAACAAAAAAATATCATTTTAATAATGAACAAAGATATAATTTTAAAAGATTACAAAAAATCACAAATATATTGAATGAACAAACATACAGTAATGTACAATGTATAGCAAATAATATACTATTATTGAATTATTAGAAAAACAAAGTTTGACTAAGGAATAAATCCAAATGGAGAAGGGTAAACTTTGAACCAGCCAATTATTCTAATTAAAATATGGCTTTCAAATAATTAATTGTAAGCCAAAAATCCCATATTATTCATAGTGCTAAAACTATAGAAATTATACACGAAACTTTATATCAAATTGTCTTCAAATTACTGTAATTCAATCCAAGGACAGTTTCGATGAAAAGAGATATAAGAGTTTACAATTAATAGAATAATCAAAGTCACTAAATGTAATGAAATATTTTAGCCCTACCAAAAGAATTTTTATTTTTTCTTTTCAGAAAATACAAAATGGTCAGAATTCTCTAGTTTAACCTGATCCCATATCAGTCGATAATAATGCCATAAAAGAGAGGTTCTTCACGTATAATTATTTGTACAGTAATTAAAATTGGACAATTTTTAATAGATTTGATGTTACATTCTTAAGTGGAGTTCGAACTAGCCCATACCTTGTTGAATGCTAAATTAAACCTTCTCTTCTTACATTAGATAATGAATTAAAAATAGCAATTTTTCAAGTATCTTGGAAATATTTCATCAAAGAATAAAGAACAGTGAAACAAAACTTACCTGTTTCAGAACTATTTCTATTAATACTATCAATGAGTTCTTAGTGGCCCGTAACTGGAAAGGTAAACTTTTAGAATCAAAAATGGAATCTTTCATATTTGATCGCCATTTTACGCATTAACAGCAACTTCACAAAAAATTTTTTTGTTATGAAAATGCCGTGAGAAAGTCGAGCATTTCCTATAAAAATCCTGGGAATGAAGAAGTGATGAATGAAATTTTTGTAAATAAAAATTGAAACTTCATTCCCAGCAAATACATACAAACTTAACCCGAAAATCTAAAAGAAATGGAATCAAATGAAAAGCTAAAATAGGAATTATAGGAATTATATCTTCCACTTAATTTTTATTCTATTATCGTTTAAACTGTATCCTTCTGTAAAGATATACGATATGAATTATCATTACAAGCATCATTGTCGTACAGAATGAAGCACCAACAATTACTGATGTTGTGCTGACACAATCACTTTCCGGTCTTTGCAATCGACGAATCTGTGCGGCTATTCGAGGATTGTTCGATGAAACGCCAAAATCTAATTGCATAGAAAAATGTTGAGGGAAATTTAAACAAAAGGGAGAAAAATCATAAAATCATAAAATACAGTATTATTAAGCAAAAAAATACCGAGTTGAGTATCGAGTACATCGAGTTGTTGAGAACGGACATCCACCTCAGCCATCCGGTCCGTCAAATTCAACATTAATGGCAAATCCGGTAATGCTCGCCGTCTTACCGCCTTCCTTTGATTGCTCAAATCTCGGCATTGCGGCTTCTAAACAGTACAAGCACACATGTATGTATATTCATATTCAAGCAAATTATGGGAAACAAAATGCTTAAAAAGTGCGAAATAAAATTTGGAAAATTAAATATACAACGATATTTATTAAATCAATTCCCTGGATAAAATTTGAGAAATTTGAAAATAATAGGAGTAAATATTTTGCATTATTTTCATAGATATATGATTTTAACATTTTTTATCGACAACTTTTATCACTGATATCAACAAATTGATTCATTCGTCCACTAATGCTGTTATGTGATATTTTAATTAAAAAAAATCTTACTGGGCACTCGCCATCTCGAATATCCAACCTGACTGAGCACTGGAAATTTACTACCACTTTATCGGCAAATTTGAAGGCGTGTGCTTCTTTTTGTGCTTCTAAATCATTGGGACCGTATTCCAGGTTATCCAACAAGTATCGATCAATTGCACATCTAAAAAAAATTAACTTTAATTCATCGAATATCACAAATCCAATTTAATTAATAGGAAATTACTTTGTCAATTTTTTTACTCTCACTTGAATATTTAATTCTTTTTAATATTATGTTCATACGGTCTTTTTTATTCTGATTCCAATTAGATCAATATTGAAAGCGTTTCAAAGTTTGAAGAGCTAAATTTACCCATCTTCATTGAGTATAACAAATTGTGTGCCAGACCCATCTTCGACAAAACATGAATGAACCGTCATGCACCACAGGCCTATGATTTGAAATTATGATAGCAATAGAAATTTAATTTAAATTAAAATTTTTTCGTCTAGGGAATAAAAAAAAGAAACAATTGCACTGATAACTTCAAATGCGAAAGAAAATTATGATGAATTTGAAGTTTTTAGGTTCGTAAAAATATTGTTAAATTGTATAAAATATAACAAATGAATACTGAATTAAATTCTCGTCTAGATAATATCATCAATTCAAATTGATCTGATCTAAACTAGTTAATATGATAACATACTTGTAGCAGTGGAATCACATTTCCATTTATGAAGTAATTTACTGCCAACCGAAACAACCGATAATGGTTCCATGGAAATTGGATCAACCACTTCATAATGGCATCGTGGCATTTCGGCAACTTCTGTGAATGGTTCCAATGATTTCATTGATACTGTTAATGGATATGTTACTGTTTTATCCGCTTCCATGTAAAAACAACTAATTTCATAACCCTAAAAATGAAATATTTTAAAGTTACACAGTGAACTTATTTCAATGATCATTTTTCTCTCTTCCAAATGTTTTTATTTTGGAATTTATCAGAATATGAAATTACTTATCACTTTTTGATTTTTTATCATAGTAAATGATAAAAAATGAAATTTAAAGCAAAACTATATGTTCTGACTGAACGATACGAAATGTTATTATTTGATTGATTATAAATTTTGTAGTTGTTGTCTATTTCTGTTTGTTAATTTGAACATTTTGAAGATCAAATAAATGATGGACTAACCCTATCCACTTTTGTGATAAATTCTTCATGAAACGAAATCATCACTTTTACATTAGCGAACATACCTGGTGGATTTGTCTGCAATCGATAAAATTTATACATTAGCAAGAAAAGAAAAAAATCAGTTTACTCGAAATATTACCTTTGATCTTAACTTTAATATAATAGCAATATATTCAAATTTCTAAAAATTTTTCTGGTTCATTTTTTCTGTTCATCTTTTCTCGATGTTAGAAGGTAAATAAAAATGTAATTAAGCAATTTGCCTAGGAAGGTCATCAAAACATTGCCAATCTTGCATGAATTTTTGTATAGTGCAGATGAATTTATTATAAATTGGTTTGAACTATAGCTGCTGGCTAAAACGAATTTCTTTGTCTGGCAGAATAAAGGAAAACGTGTTCGGCTGCTGTTTTATTACGATATCATGACATTACCCCCAATATGTCGCTTAGATAACATTTTTTAATTAACCAATTTAGAAAACTAAAGAAAGAGAAAAAAAAGCTGACTTCCCTCCATATTCAATGAAGAATGATAACTATTTTGTCTTTGCCGTCGTTTCAAAATAATTTAACAGAATTTAATAAAATTCTTAATGTTCTCAGTGTTAGATATTGGTTTTTTTGGTGAAAAATATCAACATTATATATAGAAATCAATAGTTGGTAGAAATTCAATTGGATTTCAGTTATGTGTCATATAAAATTCAATCAGATAATTGTTATTTCATTGATAACCACATTGAATTTTATTGGAAAAGTTCAATTCTTAAATTAGTTGTCAAATAAAATTAAAAATATGGGCTTTTGTGAATAGATTAAATCCGATCTTTCCATTTTTCATATCCGTTCTTTATTTTCGAAAATTTTTCATTTTCTTGAAAAACTTCAGCAATGTTAAACAAATTATTAATTTTTCAACAATTCTTCAATTATTTCTCCAATTACTTTCTTCATCTTCTCCTCCTATTTATTATTTATTGCTTAATGTGATAGCACATATTCTTGTTTCAAATTCCAAAAAGAAATTAACCCAACAATTTATCTCAAAAATCTTCAAATCACTTAGTTTTTCAATCATAAAATAAGCGAATCAAAAAGCCGTCAACAGGAAAATACGCTAAGCAGAAGAAAATTCAGATTATAATCTGACCAAATGGATGCATGAAAATTTTGAAAATTATACTGACTGCTTCATATATTACGAATTTCATCTGCGGAAGTTATAACAAATGTGTAAAGAATTTTGATCCATAATTTGCATGCAAACTAAAACGGTGAGACCTGAGAAATAAGCAGATGATAATTCTTCCAACGTTAACTGACATTTCAGTTTATCATTTAAATCTTTATTCGCATTAAAAAAATTTCTCAATCTTGCACGGATTCTCAAACACTTTTGAGATAACAAGAAATGGGCAACTAAAGCGTACTTTATTCATTCTGTTTTATTTTCCTAGTTTCATCATTCAATTTTCCACAGCAACCATCAAAATTCATTGGA